TCTGATGAGATTGAAAGATAACAACAAGAAATTACCAACACCAGGACAAGAAGGAAATGACAAAGAAGATAGAAAGTAATTGTATATTCTTGTATATTGAGAGCAGATACATATGATTGTATATATAGAAGCTAAATACACCTGATAGAAAGCATATAAGTGACACGTCAGCTTACTGATGTGGAATGTGTACTAGTAGGCCCCCTCAAATTAAGCATTTATAGGTTGAATGGTTAATATGCAGCGGAACTTAGTTAAAAAATAGGCGAAAACAATTTGGTGAGGATATCCATGATTTGATCCATAGAACTGATGTGAGCAATGGTTATTACACCATAGTTGCGATGCTGGCGAATGGAATGACAATCAATCTCTATGTGTTTTAATCTGGTATGAAATACTAGGTTGTTGGCAAGAGCGATAGCCGAGATATTGTAGCAGTGTATAATCGTTACTGAATTTTGAGTGATCTGAAATTCAACGACTAAATTGTGGAGCCATAGGACATCCGAAGTGGCAGATGAAAGCGATATGTACTCAGCTTCTATTAAAGATTTGGCCATAGTGACTTGCTTTTAACTGACCAGGAGATGAGATTGTTACCAAAGAATGTGCAATTTTTGGTCCGTGGAGTCGAATGCTCATTCAACATCTGCATATGTTTGGATTTGAAGATCCTCAATAGTTAGAGGAAGGCCAAAAATGCAGTGTGCCTTTGATGTATCGTAGTAGACATTTGAGAGCTTGAAAATCTCTATTTGTTGGCACGTGCATGTGTTGACAAATAGAGTTGGTAGCAAAGGCAATGTCCGGTCTTGTGATCGATAGGTATTGAAGTGAGCCAACCAGATTGCGGTAGAGCTGAGGGTCATTGAATGGTTGATCAGAGCCTGAATGAGAGTTAAATTTCAGAGTGATGGGTGATCGGTGTCAGATTGCAATTGGCAAACCCAACATTTTGGAGCAATGTGGTTGCATAGTGCATCTGGTTAAGGAAGAAGCCAGTGGATGTCTTAAGAACTTGTATACTGAGGAAGAGAGAGATTTGTCCAAGTTTTTTAAAGGGTGAAGTGCGATTGCATTTGCTTGAGAAGAGGTTGAATTATGTCTTGATCATCCTGTGACTAAAATGCCATCAACATATATTAGTATATAAAGCTAGATGTGTTTGTGATGAAATATAAGTAGAGAAGGGTCAAAATGACTAAACCCAAAGCTAAAGTTTTGAAGAAAATTGGTGAGTTTTTGAAACCATTGCCGAGGAGCTTGTTTGAGCCCGTAGATAGATTTGTGTAATTTGTAAACAAAGTTCAAAAATTGAGCGGCAACAAACCCAGGCGGCTGACACATGTAGTCATCATCCGGAAGGTCATCATGTAGGAACAGTACATCCATTTGAAGAATGGGCTATTGTCTGTAAAGATCAAGTGTAAGGAGGATACAAATGGTTGACATTTTAGTCACGGGACTGAAGGTTTAACTATAGTTAACACCAAGTTGTTGATTGTAGCCTTGGGCTACCAAACGAGCTTTGTAATAATTAAATTGACCATTGGGAAGGAGTTGCATTTTGAAGGTCCACTCACAGCCAAGAATAGGCTTATTGAGTGGAGGTGGCACAAGCGACCAAGTGCCTTGTTGTTGAAGAGCTAGAAATCCCATGGACATTGCAATGCGCCAGTGTTTGAATTTGATGGCTTGAGAGTAGGTGGGGGGAGTATATTGAGACGAAGTAGTAGCCAAAAGATCAAATATGTACTTGGGCCTGGAGATACCATATTTTGATTGGGTTTGCATGGGATGTGTTGGTATAGGAAGTGAAGATGCCGTAGCTGGATTTGGGATGGTGGTGACAACAGGATGTGAGGTGTTGGATAGAGATAGTTGAGATCGGTTGGGGAGCATTAGAAGAGTGATTGTGTCTTGAGATGTGCTCGGTTTGGTTACCTAGCCAGAATGGATGAGGGAATAAGCAGAAGTGGTGAGAGATTTTGAGTGTGAGATGAAGATGAGGTGAGGGAAGGAGTGACATATGATTTGTATGAAAAAATGTGTTCATGAAAGATGACATGTCGGGAGATGTAGATTTTGCTGGAGAGGATATTGAAACATTTATACCCTTCGTATAATAAGAAAAACCCGAGAAAGATATATTCATGTGAGCGAGGAGATAATTTATATGACTCATACAGTTGTAACCATATAAATCAAAGACAGCTGAAGGTACGAAGATGAGTATAAGGGGGAATCATGTCGTGGAGCATTTGATATGGAGTTTGAAGAGAAATGGTTTTTGGATGGGAGCTGATTGATTAGGTAGTTGGCTGCAGATAAAACTTCAGCCTAGAATGTGGTGGGAAGATTAGAAGGATGTAAGAGAGTTCGAGTAAGATCTAGGAGATGTATGTGCTTACGCTTGGCTAGACCATTTTGTTCAGGAGTGTGAGGGCAACTAATTTGATGAGTTATCCCGTGGTCAAGGTGAAAATTTTTTAACAAATTACTTGGGAATTCTCCTCCCCCATCAAACCAAAAATTTGAGGAGTGGCATTAAAGTGAGTTTTAATGAGATAGAAGAAGTGGTTAAATTTAGTGAATGTCTCATGTTTAGAATGCGTAAGGTAGAGCAACGAGAACCGGGTGAAATCATCAATAAATAAAACATAATATTCAAAGCCATTTAAAAAGGTGTTGTGGGGAAGGAACCCAAGCATATGAATGAATAAGCTTAAAAGGATGGGGAGGAAACAATGAAACTTTTGTTAAAGGGTAATTTGTGGCTTTTAGCCATATTACAAGATGTACTTGTATAAGAAGAAGACACAAAACTATGCTTGGGAACATGTTGAGCTAAAACGGAGAGGAGTCTGTGATGCGGATGGCAAAGACGTGCATACCAGAGTTGGGTAGGAGTAGTAGTGACTTGGAGAGCAGCCAGAGTCTTGTTTGGTGACATCCGAAGTTGAAATAGGACATTATGAAGATGAGCATGAAGGAGCTGGCGATTGTCTTGTAAGTCATTGATAAAAAACCTGTTAGCATCAAAATATATGGAAACAAAATTATCTGAAGTTAATTTGAAATTGAGATGAGATTGTGAGTTAGAGAAGGAAAGTGAAGGAGATTGCACAAGCGAAGCTTATGAGCCGAGTCGGGTAGCGGAAGCAGGCCCTATCTAGAATTGTGAATAGGAAGGGAGGCATCGTTGGCTATTGACATCGTATCAGTTCCTTGATATGTGGCCAATTGGTAGAGATTGATGATGTCCAGGGTGAGATGGGTAGATGCTCCTGAAATTGCACTGGGACCAACAATTAAGTGCCGAATGCCCATTTTTTCTGCAAATTTGGCAAGTTGTGTGATTGGAGTTGGAAGAAGGTGATTGCAAATTTGGAGGGAAGGAGAAGGTCTGACGAGTGGATGAATTTTTTCCTTTAAAGTACCTTTTCTGTCATCTACTGCTGGCAGAATTTGTACTGTTCGTGTAAAGAGACGTTGTATCCGAGATGGAGGTGGAATCTTTAAGTTGTTCTTGCTAGATATTTACTTCATCACTACATAAAAGCGAGTAGAGAGTGTCGAGATCTATAGAGTAAAGGGATGTGCAAATAGCGGCTTTGAAAGAGTTGTAGTTGAACAGAAGACCATTCAGGATATAAAAAATGATGTCTTTGGTGTCAATTTTGGAACCGGAAGCATCAATATTGGCTACAATAGTTTTGATTTGTGCAAGATATTGTTGCATGGAACAATTTTTCATTTGAATGTAGTGGAGTTCATTGTTGAGTTGGATGACTCGAGAACGATTTGTGGGTTGCAGCCGATGCTCAAGAATTGACCAGACTTCTTGAGCAGTGGACGACGAAAGAACATAAGGTAGGATCGAGGGAGAAATTGTTGAAAATAAAGAGGAAATTAAATTACTATCAATAAGATGCCATAGTTTATAGTTGCGACTGGAGATGTCAGAAGGACAGGAAGTAGCTCCTGTGAGGTGTCCGACGAAGTCATTTGCTGTGAAATGCTGGAGGAGCTGAAGTCGCCAAATCGCGTATGTGTCGGAGGTCAAGTGGGTGGGAACCAAATTCTTCGTGTTTGAAATCAAGAATTTCATGGGTGCAGGAACAATGAAGTTGGAGAGATAATCGAAAAGTGTATAGAAAGAGGGTGAGACGGAAGCAGTCGATTATTGATCCACCAAGGCTTATCTCTGATACCCTGAAAGACAACAGCAAGAAATGACAAACAGGACCAAAAGAAAAGGATAGAGAAGATAGAAAGTAATTGTATATTCCTGTATAACACTAACAGATACATATGCATAAATATAAAGAAAGCTAAATACGCTTGATAGAAAGACATACAAGTTACACGTCAACTTGCTAACATGGAATGTGTACTCGCAGAGATATCATTTTTACAATTTTGAAGCAATAACACTATTCCTAGAAAAAAAAAGGAAAAAACAATGAATCATTTTCTTATAAGAAGATAAATTAAAAGTAGGAAAATAGGTTTGTTTATGATAAAATTATTATTGATCAAATTTAATTAAGTGTTTTTAGGACAGTTTTAAAAGGAATTTACTTGCATGCCATTAAATTCTTATATATTTAAATTAAATGAAACTTTCAAATTTCACGCGAAGCATGTGAGGGTGAACCAGACACGATGAGATGGTGATGTGGAAAAAGCAATAATAACGAAGAAATGAATAAGATGAATACTACTATAATTAGTAATAAATCTAATTTATAATTATATTATTTATTATCATAACTTTTTGACGTTAATTAAAATTTAATTTTGAAATGAACTAACAGCTTCAAATCCTAAATTATATTGCCAAATATTTTTACCTAATTATTTTGTCAAAGTATTTTAAAGATTTAATATATTAATAATTTTTTAAATTTAAATTTATAGGATTTACTAATACTTTATTTGAGCTAACTTTCTCATTTAGGATTACTTATGTACCTTTCTGCAAAAGTATTCGTCTTCCCCGCCAACCCTCACGACCAGAAAACTGAAAGGGGCCTTTGCTTCCACTCTTTCCTTCAACCTGCTGATGATATCAACGCCCCAACTGCCTCCCACCTTCTGATGCAAATGCCCCAACTACTGTACTCAGTTCTCTTTCCTCTACCTACAAAGCGACCGACTCATTTGGAGATGCCTCCATCTGTTTCCAGGGTTGGGGGGTTACGAGATAGGGCGTGCTTTGAGGTGAGGAAGAGGAAGGATGATGGAATCCGGTATCCCTCTCTGCAGCACCTGCGGGGAGCTAGTGGGATTCTCATCTTCGTCGAGCGATGAGGTTTTCGTTGCCTGCTCTAACTGCAATTATCCTCTCTGCCGATCCTGTCTCGAAGAAGAGATCAGAGAAAATCGGGAAAGCTGCTTGAGGTGTGGCGAGCCTTATTTTCATGCCGGAGGTATGCTCTTGTTTCTTTTTCTAGACTTTTGCATGCTGATTACTTAGAGAGCTTAAATTTTGAGCATGTATACTTATCTTTTTCACTTGAGGTGTTGGTTGCAACATTTAGCCTAAATATTGCCATGAGCCACATAAATTCTACTACCTTTCTAAATCCCATTTTCTTCAGATTTTTACGCTACATTCCGCATTTAGTAAATCCTGTAAGAGAAATAGGATTTAAGAGATTTAATAAACAACTTCTTCTCATTATGCATCTTCTAAATTTAAATCCAAAAAATTTGAAAAAAAAAAAAAAATGCCGAAGAATTTACTAGAATTTAACATCGATCATGCCAAACATTTATGTGGATGTAACACTTTCTAGCATTTATTAAATCTGGATTTACCGGATTTACTAAACCCTAATAGATTTAAATCCTATTTGTAGCAAACAGCCCCGTAAAGTTCCATTCTATTCAGCTGGAGTGATGCCTTATTGTAAATCTCTGATGGTGAAATAATTTTCTTTTTCTAATTTTGGCACTTAATCTGCTCAGAGAAAGATTCCCTGAAAGACCTGGAATCTGTGGAGCATGTAACCATGGCATCTCGTTTACAAGATGACCAGGTTGGATATTTGAAAAACTGATAGGGTATTTTGATGTTGTTACATAATATTGTTGGGAGAATGATGGATTATCTGAGTTTCTTGCATTTTCAGGATGATGGGGTTCATGCTAGAAACTTAAGCAATCTGTCCATGACGGAGAGTGGTGAGCATAGTTTTTTGTTGTCTGAGAAATTTTAACATCCATGAATTTTTGAAAATTTAAGTAATAATGTTTCTTTATAATTTTTTTTGAAGAGTTAAATGATGTATCTGGAAACCCTATATGGAAGAACAGAGTACAGAGTTGGAAAGAGAAGAAAATTAAAAAGAATGCCGACAAAAAGGCATTGAAGAAAACTCAGGTCCCTTTGGAACAGCAGATGGAAGCCAAAGAGTATGTATCAATATATATTGAATAAAAAAGTGCTTAAAATCCTATAATTTGTACTTCTTTGTTGATTAACCTTGAGCCAAATGGTCGGTCATCATATTAGTATGTTAAAACAGAACACTCTATGACAACATAAATAATCATATATATTACTGGAATAGTAGGAGTTGATTGTTTTCTTAGGTTAAATGCTATTTTAAACTACACAAATTGTTGTATTACAAATGAAATCTTATGATATCAAATTGTCTCTAAGGCAGCATGAAGTTGTCATTTTCTATTGGAAAGGAGATGGCGCCCATATAATATTGTGGTATATTTTGTCAAATTTTCATTGAGGTTCCGAATTTCGAGGATTGTTTCACATCGATTTATTTTCTTAGATGCTATTAGTATAGGTTCTCAACATATAGTAAACTTTCATATAGGTCAATGTTTCCTGTTATTAGCTTGTGTATATTGATTAGATTATCCTCATAAATTTGAAGTACTAAAATGAAGTAAACCTATTTGGTCACCCATATTCTTTTGACATTGACATCAGCACCTTTGTGGTTGTTTGTGATTGCCTCTACCGGCAACTTCTATCATCTTCTCACTTTTCCAAGACCCCCCAACCACAGCCCCTCTCCTTGTTATCATTTATGTTTATTCCAATTGACATTAGAAAGAGGCAACAAATATAGAGCCCCACCTAGTCCAGAACTCTATTTGCTTGTTGTATTGTCCCCTATTTCTTTTCACACATTTCTACTAATATTTAATTCTGAAACTAAACCATGAAGCATGGTTAATTTGCTTATAGCTAGCTAGATTTTAAAGTGGCATAAAAGGGTATTCATTATTAATAAATGATGAATGTAATTATTACTAATAAAAACAAACTCATCATCAATAATAAAAGTATTAGCACCGATGGATAAAGCAAAATTCAAGCTTGCCTTAGACAAAACTAGGCAATTCTATATTGGTTCAAGTTTTAAATTTTGTTTACTTGTGAAGTGCCATTTTAAAATTTATATGTGTTCCTGGCCCCACTTTCCTATCCTCATCAAGAATAGTTAGTATTAATGTCGTAAGTGATTAAATTTTACGTGAACACACACATGATATAAAACAAAAGGAGAATCTTTTACCGAATAATAATACCTCTGAACTAGGAAAAAAAAATTTACACGCCTAACTACGATTTTGCAACCGAAACTTACATCCTCATCTTTTCAAAGGAAATGAGGAAGAGAGTGGAGAATGAGAGCATGCAAGGAGGGTAAGGAGGCCACTTTTGTGCTTTCATCTATCTATCTTTACAAAAAACTAAAAGGAAAGAGGTAAATCAAATAAAGAGAAAGAAGGTAGGTTGATATCATCTCACCATAATTATGCCCTTTTAATTGCAATTTCACCACAGAAAGGTAATAACTTGACATGGGATGATTTGAAAAGGATATGAATAGTTGGAGAAACATGTATGCACCATTGGAAAGAAATTCTATTAAATTCAGGTGCAAGAGCTTCAAGTCCTTGAGATAAAACAACAATAACAATAACAAGACTTTATCCCACTATATATGGGGTCTGTTACATAAATCATTTTTCTCCATTGCGTCCAAATAAGAGTCAAATTCTTATTTAAATCTAATAAAAAAAAATATTTTTTTTAATATTTCCTAACCAAATCATTTTAGGTTTACCTTTACCTTTCTTAACATAGGTCAAATATAATATATTTACTCTCCTAACAAGGATATCACAAGGCCAACGTTTTATGTGACCAAACCATCTAAGGCAACTATCTCTAATCTTATTTGCCACTAGTGCTACTCCAGCCTTCTCACGTATATGCTCGCGTTGCATTTTAAGTGTAAAGCCACTCGGAATTGAGCATCCTCATCTCTGCTACACTTAATTTTATGCTTCTCTTTTAGTGGCCAATACTTGCACCATAAAACATTGTAGGTCTCACCACTATCTTATAAAATTTCCCTTAAGTTTGAGTGGTACTTTTCTATCACACAATAAGTCTGATGCATTCCTCCACTTCAACATTTCTACTAATAATATCCCAATCTATTTCACCATCACATTGAATAATAGACCTGAAATATCTAAAACGTGCACTTTTTTTAATGACTTGATCAACCAATGCCACAATCTCACCACTAGATCTTTTATTATTGAAATTACACTCAATGTATCCAGTTTTAAATCAACTCAATGAAAACCTTTAGACTCTAAGGTTGACCTCCATCATTAAAGTTTTTGTCAACTCCATCTCTATTCTTATCAACAAGAAAAATATCATCAGGAAAAGACCTACAACAAGGTACATCCTCTTGCAAATTTCTAGTAAGAACATCCATGACTAAAACAAAAAGATATGAGCTTAAAGTTTATCCTTGGTGCAATCGGATTGTAGGAAAATACTTGGTCAAACCACATTGTGTTTGAACACTAGTAACAGCTCATGTAAACATATCATTAATGACTTAAATTTGAGTGATTTTAACTCCTTTTTTTTCTAGAACTCTCAAGAGTACTTCTCTTGGAACTTTATCATATGCTTTCTCTAAATCAATAAATATCATATCCTTACTCTATATACTTTTCCATCAAACCTCTAAGAAAATTTATAGCTTCCATAGTAGATCTAACCGACATGAATCTAAACTAATTATGAGAAACATTAGTATCAAGTCGTAATTTATGCTTAGTTACTTTCTCCCATAATTTTAATGCATAATGCATTAATTTAATTCCTCTATAATTCATACACTCTTTTGCATCACATTTATTCTTAAAAATGGGATTCAACAATCTTTTTTCACTCATCAGATATCTTTTTTAGTTTTCAAAATAATATTGAAGAGTTTATTAAGTCAAAAATTTCTTTATCTTTTAAGCATTTTCACGCTTCTATTAGAATATCATTAGGTTTACTATTTTTGTTTCACACTTTATTTTCTTTGAGTCCTCTCGAACTTTGATTTTATTAATATGATGATAAAAACAAAAATCTATATTTATACTTAGGGTGCTAAGGTCACTAAAGTCAATCGTATTCTCATAATCTTTATTGAAAATTTTATCGAATATCTCATCAATCTATATTGAATATTTTTATAAGAAAAGTACATTTTGATCTTTATCTTTAATTCACTTCACTTAAACAAATCTTTACTTCTATTATATATTTCCTTGACTAACTTATGTATACATATTTTGCTCTTCTAAGTTTCTAATATATTATATAAATCACAAAAATCTAATTGTTTTTTATTATATATTACTTTCTTAGACTCCCTATAGGTTGCTCTATATTTTTTTTTCAAATATTTTGAGATTTTAAATCTAAATTAATTTTTATAATAAATTTTTTTTATCGTTTTTGCACATTTCGATTCTAACACCAACTACTTTTACTCTTAAGAGCTATTTTTATTCTTCTAACATATATTTTACAACACACTTAATCTCACTAGCTATTGTTTTCCCACAAAATATAAGCTTCCACATAAATAATTCAATTCTTAAGATCTTGAATCTTACTCACAAAAATATTTTTAATAGCTTTTTTTAAATACTCATATCTAATATTAAGACAATATTTTCTTTAATTTTTATTTTACACTCCATCTTAAAATTTAAAACTAATTAGCTATGTTATGTACATGAACTTTCACATAGATATGCTTTACAATTTTTGAAATCTAAACAATTTATTTTTCTTATAATAAGTGATAAATATTAGTTTTGTTATATATATTCTTATAAGTTACAAAATACTCATATCTTTTTTATTTAATAAAATATTAGCAATTAGAATAAGCTAGAGCAAAATCTAATATGATCCTATCATCTTTATTAGTAGCTTCAAATTTATATTCACCATGAATGCTTTTAAAATCTTCTAACACTCTGCTAATATGTTCATTTGAATCTCATCTAATAAAAAATCATTTTTCAAGAGGTATCCTTTGTATTATTTCTTTTAAGTCATTCCATAACTTTATTTTTGAATACATATGCAAGATTACTTGAGGGGCATAAGCACTTATAATGTTAATAATCTTAGCATCAACAACAATCTTTAAAACTATAATTTTATCTTCAATTTTATTAATATCTATAACATTGTCCCTCATATGCTTATTTACAATCACATCTATACTATTTTTAGTACAACTCCTATATTAATACTATAGTTTAAATCTGAAATTATCAATCACTTTAGCTTTTTTTCCCGCCAATTTAATTTTTGAATATATAAAATCTTTATCTTTTTATAAATCATTGTATCTATTAATTTTATTATTTTTTCTATAAGAGTACCCATATTCTAAGTTCTTATTTTAATTCTAGTTTCATTGACTAATTTCTTTGTCTTCATTCATCTATAATGTGGGAACCCTTTCTTATTTAATACTATATTCATGTCATACAACATGTCGCTTTTAGGGAATGCTCTAGCATTAACACTATGTATTAAAGAATTTATGTCATGTTTGTTCAACAAGTTTTATGCTGGATATCGACTACTTAACGTAACCATCTACTTTTCTTATCCAGGACTTGTGATTAGATAATTATAGTGTTAAGGAGATTATGAAGAGATGAAAGGTTTTAAATCTAGGGATAGAGAAAATAGTATGAATCATGATAAAGATGAAATTGATAATAATGAATGCTATTAACCTTAGGCTATACTTAACTATAATCTTTTGTTAGAGTATATATCCTTATAATAATTTATTTAGCTTAGTTTTTTAACTTATAAAATTTTGGATCGTGATTTCTTATAATTTAATGTGATAACTATCATTTTTTATACTCTTTGAAAATATTCCTTATAACAAAAATAAATTTAAAGAAGTGATGTATCTATTTCTTTTCTAAGTGCCTTATTTTGTTTAGAAGAGTGCCTATGGTGATGCCTTAACTCCTCGATTGTTCAGAAGCTATATTTCCTTGAGGGTGTTTGATGCTTTGGGTAGCACATAAGTGATCGCTTAAGTCTCACCCTAAGGCCTTAAATGATTCTCATTTATTTAAGTATCAAATTTGTATTTGTCTTCGTATGCACTACATGGTACTTTAGATCAACGAAAATTACAATTTTTGCTAAGGTATTTTAGTAAAGCAAATTATGACCATGCGCTTATGGGGAATTATTAGTTGTTAGAGTTGATTGTCAAGAAATACGAAGAATTAAGATAAAATCATGCTTTAATTTGATATTTTACAAAATTTGCGATAGCTAAAAAGTATGAAGTAACCCTTGTATGTATATATATGTTATCCTTTTGAAAATCATCTTGCTCATTATATCAACTAATACACCATAATTTATACTTTAATAATTTTCTTGATATAATTTTTTGCTACAAAAAATAATTAGTTTCCAACAATTTGATTATTTATTTATTTATTGTTTTTTAGAGCTTATGGAAAACATACAATTTGCTGCATATCATAATGAAGGGTGTAAACTCCCAGTTCTTATAAATCACTCAAATATTTTCATTGGCTGAATCCTACCAGGAAATTATCAAAGAATTACACGAAGGCATAGTTTGCTTCTCACATTTTTTTCCATGTTATGAGGTTGATGAAAGAAACTCTTACTTAATTAATATATATAATTCAATGATATGGTGATTGTGTACCATGCAGGGTAGCTTACTAAAATGCATATATGGGAAGTGTATAATTGTTAATTCTTGAATTTCTAAAATATTTCTCTTTAATTATTTAGTTAATGCAAGTCATTACAATTTCCAATGTCTTTTTCCTGGATGCAGGTCCCAAGAAGCTGGGAAACCATTTTCAGCTATCATTCCTATATCTCGTAATAAGCTCACACCTTATAGGGCTGTGATTATATTGCGATTAATAATTCTTGGGTTGTTCTTCCATTATAGAATTACAAATCCTGTTGATAGTGCTTATGGTCTATGGCTAACTTCAGTCATATGCGAGGTTTGGTTTGCATTCTCTTGGGTGTTGGATCAGTTTCCTAAGTGGTCTCCTATTTGCAGGGAGACATACATTGATACTCTTTCTTCAAGGTATTAATTCGGCTTTTGTGAGAATTCTTTTTGGCTACCTTCGATTGATATGTACTGGCATGATCGGTTAGAATTGTAAACCATTCATCGCAAGCTTATCGTACTTTGATGAGATTTTTCCTTTTGATATTTTGATATTATTGCGTAACCTGCAACTTATGTTATTAGGGTCTTTCATTTAGAACTTTTATGTCTTGAAACTGAAAAATAATTTGCTGAAAAATGTTTACTAGTATTATATGTTACAGCTGTTTTTTTTTTTAACATTTTTTTTGGTGAATTTTGTTATCATGGTCATCATTGCTGTTCGTAAATGTTATGACTGAGTATATTTAGTGTAATGGAAAGCCTTGTTTAAGACATGGCTTGTTATAAAAGGTCTGAAAACTGGAAATTATTTTCAAGACACTTGAGTGGCTTTTACTTACACATGGCTTATATTCATCTGATTATTTGAGGCTAATAAAAACTGAATTATTGTTTTAAAGATCTGCAATCAGGTTAGTCTGACTGCATTTCTCTGCTTCCTTTAGATATGAAATGGAGGGTGAATCTTGCATGCTTGCTTCTGTGGACTTTTTTGTTAGTACTGTGGATCCATTAAAAGAGCCTCCACTAGTTACTGCAAATACTGTTCTCTCAATTCTTGCTGTGGATTATCCAGTTGAAAAAGTATCCTGCTATGTTTCCGATGATGGTGCTGCCATGCTTACATTTGAGGCCATGGCAGAAACAGCTGAGTTTGCAACAAAGTGGGTTCCATTTTGTAAGAAATACTTGATAGAACCTCGTGCGCCTGAGTTCTATTTTTCGCAGAAATTTGACTACCTGAAAGATAAAGTTCAGCCATCTTTTGTGAAGGAACGCAGGGCAATGAAAGTAAGCATTTTAATTCCATAAATTAAAATTTATTTTTTTATAAGTGCTTTTATCAGCAATAGAATTTTCTTTCCATGCTTTTAGATGTTCTCTTAAATCCACGTATTTTGAGGTATATGACATTTTTTCAATATAATTAAAAGTCATTACAAGTGAATGTGTTGAATGAATGTTGGCCATGAAATTAATTGCAGCGAGATTATGAGGAGTACAAAGTCAGGATAAATGCTCTGGTTGCTAAGGCTCAAAAAACACCCGAGGATGGGTGGGTCATGCAAGATGGAACTCCTTGGCCAGGGAACAACACTCGTGATCATCCAGGCATGATCCAGGTCTGATGATGTTTTTTATCTAATTGTATTCATATATATGTGACATAGAATAAGTTTCTTATGATCCAAGGATTCTTCACAGTTATTTTATTTTATTTTATTTTTTTGGGTGGTTTTTGTTCATCCTATAGTCAAAAAGGAAATTATTTGAAGCTTGATACTTTTTTTGGCTAGTAAAATATCGTTAGCCTTAAAATTTTTTCAGGTATTTCTTGGGCATAGTGGTGCTCATGATATTGAAGGAAATGAGCTTCCTCGGCTTGTTTATGTATCAAGAGAAAAGAGACCAGGATATCAACACCATAAGAAAGCTGGTGCAATGAATGCTCTTGTATGGATTGTTTGTTATTAAGCTACCTGATTTCTTCTCTTCTTCTGACTTAAAAAAAGTATTTATGTTTTGCTGTAATTACATTTCACAGGTCCGGGTTTCAGCAGTCCTGACTAATGCCCCATACATTCTTAACCTTGACTGTGATCACTATGTTAACAATAGCAAAGCAGTCCGTGAAGCCATGTGTTTTATGATGGATCCTCAAGTTGGTCCACATTTATGCTACGTTCAATTTCCCCAGAGGTTTGATGGAATCGATCGCAGTGACCGATATGCGAACCGGAACATAGTCTTCTTTGATGTAACCATAACTGAAAACTTTTTGTTCGTTTTAACTCCTTTGTTATTCTTATTGATTTTTTTTCCAACCCATCATTCTACCAGGTCAACATGAAAGGACTTGATGGAATCCAAGGACCAGTTTATGTTGGCACTGGTTGTGTTTTCAATAGACAAGCACTCTATGGTTATGGGCCAACATCTTTGCCCACCCTTCCCAAATCTTCTTTCTGCTCCTGGTGCTGTTCCTGCTGTTGCTGCTGTCCTTCAAAAAAAGCTTCCAAAGATAAAAATGAAAGCTTCAAGGATTCTAGGCGGGAAGATCTTAATGCCGCGATATTTAATCTGAAAGAAATAGACAGTGAGTATTATTTTCTTATAGGGGAACTACATACCACAAAATTATTATGTAGTTACATATCCAACACTTAAATCTTTATATTTATTTATATAATATTCTAATATCTATGTCACATAAAAAATACAATTAATTTTAATTTATCTAATGTAAAATGTATTTTTTTTCATGTATACTTGGATGTGATTTAAACTTTAGAGTGTTATATAAGTAAATATGAATATTTAGTTGTTAGATATGTAAATATATAAGATTTTTATGGTATATATGTAAGTCCCCATTTCTTCTATTATTTTTGTATTTTTTTTCTTGCACAATTCAGATTATAAATTTATTTTGGTATCATGCAAAACCTTTCTCTTACTTGCAGACTATGATGAATATGAGAGATCAATGTTAATATCCCAAATGAGTTTTGAGAAGTCATTTGGTCTGTCTAGTGTTTTCATAGAATCTACACTGATGGAAAATGGTGGGTTGCCAGAGTCTGTAAACTCATCAACTCTGATCAAAGAAGCAATTCATGTCATTAGCTGTGGATATGAGGAGAAAACTGAATGGGGAAAGGAGGTTAGCATAGATTTGTTTGCTATTTTTCAAAGTTTAAATTATTGGGGGATTTATGAGCATATCATTAAATTATTATGCGTATATAACATCAAAAATTTTATATTTATATAATATTCTACTATAGATGATATTAAAATATATATTTATTTTAAATATATTAGTTAGAATTCATTCATATGCATGTAAATCCCTCAAATTCTTGTATTTTTTTTTTGTTGCCAAATTTTTACTTCTTGTATATCTTTTTATTTTATTTTTCTATTTTTCAGATTGGTTGGATATATGGGTCTGTTACAGAAGATATTCTTACTGGATTTAAGATGCACTGTCGTGGTTGGAGATCAATCTACTGCATGCCATTAAGGCCTGCTTTCAAAGGATCAGCTCCTATCAATCTTTCTGATCGTCTTCACCAAGTTCTCCGGTGGGCTCTTGGTTCTGTCGAAATTTTCCTCAGCCGACATTGCCCACTCTGGTATGGTTATGGAGGTGGTCGTCTCAAATGGCTGCAGAGATTGGCTTATATAAACACCATTGTCTATCCATTCACTTCCCTCCCTCTTATAGCTTATTGTTCTTTGCCTGCCATCTGTCTTCTCACTGGGAAATTTATCATTCCAACTGTAAGTAGCTTTATTTGCATTGCATGTCATCTGAAATGTTGAAGTTTTGAACTTAAAGTTCTGTTTCTGGTGAAATCAGCTCTCCAATGTTGCGAGTATGCTGTTCCTTGGCCTCTTTATCTCCATCATCCTTACCAGCGTTCTGGAGCTTCGCTGGAGCGGTGTCGGCGTAGAGGACTGGTGGCGTAATGAGCAGTTTTGGGTGATTGGTGGTGTTTCCGCCCATCTCTTTGCGGTCTTTCAAGGTTTTCTAAAGATGCTAGCTGGTGTTGATACAAACTTCACTGTCACAGCAAAAGCTTCTGATGATGCAGAATTCGGCGAGCTCTATGTGTTCAAGTGGACAACACTTTTGATTCCCCCAACCACCCTCATTGTTTTAAACATGGTCGGCGTTGTGGCCGGCTTCTCTGATGCATTGAACAGTGGTTATGAAGCATGGGGGCCTTTGTTTGGTAAAGTTTTCTTCTCTCTATGGGTGATTCTTCATCTCTATCCTTTCCTCAAGGGTCTGATGGGCCGGCAAAACCGGACGCCGACCATTGTTGTGCTCTGGTCTGTGTTGCTTGCTTCTGTTTTCTCGCTTCTATGGGTTAAGATTGATCCATTTATAAGCAATACAGATGATTCTTCCGGCTCACAGGGATGCAATTCGATTGATTGCTAATGCTTTGGTCAGACAAAAGAGGATTTTTTTTTTTTGGCTTATTAATCTAATTGCTTTTCACATGTTGATTAAATTCATAAGTGAATCATATTGTATGGTTTTTTGCCTATAATAATTGTATTATATTATTTTTCATATCACTTTTGTAAACTTTATCAAGCTCTTATGATTTTATTATTCAAAGTTTATCCATGGAGCCTAATCTAAATGCTGGAGTCTAATCTAAATAGCTTTTAGATTATTATTATTATTATTATTGTTATTATTATTATTATTATTATTATTATTATTATTATTATTTGAGATTTATGACTTGAAAATTCTTGCTAATAAAATAAAAATTTCTGCATGTCCTACATCAAAATTGATTGATTAATAAGGTCATCAGTGCAAGGTACTTGAATGTGTTAAATGATAGATAAAGAAGTTAGTCATGTGAATCATTAGGATTAACGTTTAGATTGCTTTTTTTATTATGTTGAATGTTTAGCGAAGGGATGTCTTATTGAATGATTATTTGAAGGCTCAATATAATGAGATAAATTTCAATTGAGCATGTAAGAGTTAAAATCTAATTTAGATCTAATAAAAAAAGGTCATTTCTAATATTTTCTACCGAATCTTTTTAGGTCTACCTCTACCTTTCCTGACATAGGTTAAATTTAATGCATCTACTATCCTAACCGAGAGTTAGAAGACCTCCTTTTTATGTGATCAAATCATTTAAGGCGACTCTGTCTAATCTTATCTGCCATTGAAGCTACTCCAACATTTTCATGTATATGCTCATTTCGTATCTTGTCCTGAAGAGTAAAGCCACTCATCCACCTGAGCATTCTCATATATGCAACACTTAGCTTAATATTATGCTTCTCTTTTAATAGCCAAAATTTTATGCCATAAAACATTACAGGTCTAAACACCAAGTTATAGAATTTTCATTTAAGTTTGAGTGGTACTTTTCTATGACTCAACAAGTCTGACGAATTCCTCCACTTCAATCATACAACTTGAATTCTACTTGTAATATCCCCATCTATTTCTCTATCACTTTGAACAACATTTCCATATTAGTGCAATGGGCAATAATGTTGAAGTTCATGATAGCCTTTTATTGTATAGTACTATAATGCAATCTCTAGTTGAATGGTCATTGATATATTGTCCAGACCAAGCAACTCGTAGTGGCTTCCCGTGTTGCCTGAATACTATTCGAGCCCAAATATGCTTAATACTCAAAACTAGCTCTGAGATTTTAGGACTCCCACCGGCTGAGGAAGCTTGTAAAGTGATGGTGTGAGGAAAATTCAACTATGAATTTTAATATTAGATCTTCGCTTGAATTTCATTATTATTATAAAATATTGATGTTTTTCCTTGTATCATCTGAGATGCTCGAGGTTGATCTGACTGGGTTCTCTCAACGGCTAAGCACTACACATGAAACAAGCCAATTAAGTAAATAAAATAAATATCATTGATATCTCATCAAAAAATTATCTTGATAGGGCACAAATCTCGAGGAAGAATCAAATTGAAAATTTCCGAAATTAAATATGGGACCATCTAAAGTCAGATTTCAGAAAACTTATAGTTGAATTGAACGTCTCAAAAATACGAACACAACGACACCAAATTCGCCTCAATCCGAGCCTGAATAGGTTCAAATCGAAGACCCGAAGCGCATTTGGAAAGTTCAAATCATAAATTGGATGATCAATTAATTTCCGAACATGACATGCTTATAGTCAAATTGATCGCCTCGATGAAATGAATACAACGAGCCCAAGATTGTCAACTTTTGATATCAATCCCTCACCTTAAAGTAAAGTTTCTTATCACGAAGGGAGTCAATATAGTACGCAGAGATAAAAAAGTAGCACAATCATGCTATCTTAGGCAGGCTCAAATGTTCTCATTAGTTACTTTAATCATCAAAGATTTTGATCTCCATAATGAGGATATCCCTCAGAGGGCTTCTCCTATAGAAGAACTCATTTCTGCATCCATATCAGAAAAATAACCTTCAAGGACTGTGCAGATTGGGTATTTTCTCTTAAACGCATAGAAGAAAATATATGTAGATTTTCCACGTAAAAACCAAGATATTTTTGCATGGAATCCAGTTGATATGTCTGGAATCGACCATGAAGTGATCATGTACTCCCTCAAAGTAAACCTGATTTGCAAGCTTGTAATCTAGTAGAAATAGAATTTTGCACCAGATCGCCAGCAAGCAATCGAGTAGGAATTTGATAAACTTTTAGAGGTCAGATTTATACGGGAAGTGCACTATCCAGCCTATCTGGCGAATATCGTCATGGTGCGGAAGGCTAATGGATCTTGGAGAATGTGCAAAAATTATACATATATCAACAAAGTATGCTCGAAGGATAATTTTTCGCTTTCTCGTATTGACCACTTGGTTGATACCACTTTCGAACATCAACTGCTAAGATTCATGGATGCCTGATTCGGTTACAATCAAATAAAGATGAATCTTACAGATGAGGAGGCAACGATTTCAGACAAATAAGAGTTTATACTATTATCTAGTCATGTTATTTATACAAAAAAATGTTGGGCCACATATAAGTTACTTATGAATAATGTTTTCAAAGATCTTATTGGGCACACTATGGTAGTATATGTTGATGATATATTGGTAAAATGTGTTAAAAAAATCTCTATATATAAATATATAATTTCAAATAGTGCTTCCACTAGCTATGACACTACAACATGCGAATCAACTCTGCCAAGTATGCTTTTGGAGTAGCTTCTAAAACATTCTTAGGATTCATGATAACCCATCAAGGGATTGAGACAAATTCTAAGAAAACAAGGCACTAAGAAATATAGTGCACCCGAGAAATATCAAGGAAGTCTAGAGGCTGAATAGAAGGATTGCATCACTATCTCATTTCCTAGCTTGCTCAAGGGACAAATATATGCCCTTCTTTAAGATACTCAGGATTCCAATGGACTGATGAATGTCCATAAGCCTTCGAATAGTTATAAAAGTATTTGGCTTCTCTGCAACTACTTTTTAAATCAATACTTAGAGAAAAGTTGTATGTATACCTAACTGTTTCTGCCCAAGCTATCAATTCGATCTTGGTCTGAGAAGAGAATGTTGTATAATGTTCCATCTTTTATGTCAGTAAAATTTTAGCTAAAATAGATGGACATTATCCACTAGTTGATAAAACAGCTTTGACATTAATTTACTATGCCAGAATATTACTCTCATACTTTCAAGCCCATACAATTGGGATCTATACTACTCCCAAGAGAGATTTCATGGATTGATCTCATCTTATCCTTCTTATAAGATGGTGTGCTACTAGAAGATCCCACAACTACAAAATGACTTCAAAGATAAGCAATGAATTTCACTATTATTGGTGGCGAGTTGTACAAATGGGCCTTCACTGGACCATACATCAAATTTCACTCACCTTCATAAGTCGATTATGCACTTCAAAAAGTTGAGATCATCCCAAATACCTAAGAATACAAGTGGTGGCATGCGTCCCAAGGAAAAAACATGCATATTTAGGTAAATAGGCCTTGCTTCTTTCAAAATGACCTCCGATTGTGAAACAAATTTTGTCGTTACGTCTAGAACATCCCAAATACCTAAGAATACCTAAAGATGACAATCAATTTGACATTTAACCACCGGATACAAAAAAAAAACCAAAAAATTGCAAAGAATCTCAGAAATCCTTCTTACCTCATACAAATATATGCCAAAACAATCCCTTCTAGTGGAGCAATTATTACGTCAGGTCATCGGACGCGTCCAGAGACCAATAATGATATGCACGTCACCTAGAGCTTGATATTAAGCACTCGGTATTGCTCGATATACGTCCAAATTTCCAGTTTTTTGTCCGAACGTAATAGTTACTCCTTCTAGTGATTTATTCACAAATCTTGCTCTTGATCATTGCCCCGTTCTCTGTTGACCCGTCAACTGTATTGAAATAAATAAAAAAAAGAAATTTTTTTCTTGCTTACTTGCTCTCTGTCGAAGCACGTCGCACGTCCTCGATGCAATTCGCACGTCGCTCGCATGACCGATGTCATTTCTTGCACGACCTCGTGTTATTTCTTTGCATAACCTCGTGTCCTTAAAAGGACACAAGAACAAAGCTATCGGGTTGTTCTCTCCTGTTCTTCCCCCCTCTCGCATGCTTCTTCATTGTCGGTCGACTCTGCTCCTATGATGATTTTCCCTGTTTGAGGGATCAGAAGTCACGATACTTCAGTCGGAAGCAGATGGTATCCCTCCTTCGACTTCTCTACCCGACTAAACCCAGCAATTAAGCTCTTATCTCCTCCGCCTCTTCCGAACCCCGCCTGACTCTTTTGCTCCTTCAGCTCGTAAGAGAAAGAGAGAGAGAGAGAGAGAGAGAGAGAGAGAGAGAGAGAAAGAGAGAGAGAGACCGCCTATACATGCTTTTCTCTAACGTCGTGGGAAGGGAACCCGGTGCGACACCTACGGTGAGGTAGATGAGAGACCCCTCGACCCTCAGATTTCTACTCTCGATGTTGGCAACGAACAAGCAAATCTCCTACGTGCTCACGTAGTGTTGTGGGGAGGAAAGCTAGTGCGACACCTAAGACGAGGCGGATAATCGCCTAAATTCTTATCCTCGATGTTCGCGATGAGATGACAAACCCCCTATGCGCTCACGTAGTGTTGCGGGGAGGGAAGCTAGTATGACGCCTATGATGAGGCAGGTAGTCACCTAAAATCCTATGCTCGATGCTTACGACGAGCCGGAAAACCCCCTATGTGCTCACGTAGCATTGTAGGGAGTGAAACCGGTGTGGCGTTTGCAACGAGATGGATAATCCCCGGAGTGGTCACGTGGCGTGAGGGGGATAAAATAATAATAAACAAAACACCCTTAAACGCTCACGTAGCGGGTGGGGATAATAATATATTTGCCACCGCCGTGTCATTTTTGACACCTACCTGAAGTGCTCACATAGCGTTGAGGTGAAGGTTGCCTCTTGGTTTTTTCCCGCTAAACGGGGGAGACGCTGGGAGGCTGCCAAAATTTTATCTGAAATAAGATAAGGACTTGGAACAATTAGGGACTTGTGGACTTGAATCAAATGGACTTAAATGAACTTGAAAGACAACATAAGCTTGGACTTAAA